GAAAAAAAGAAGAAAAAAGAAAACTTTGACATTTTAACTGCAATATATTCTTTTTTACCAACTTTTTAAAATTCTATATTAACAATTTCTAACTGCTTAAAAAATATATTTACTATCTTATATTTTTATTTTTAATGAATTTTATTAGCAAATGCTTTGATATAACTTTGAATTCATATGTAACAAAGACTACATATTGTTTAAAAATATTCATCTTTATGATTAAACTGTCTATTATTTTACAGTATTTAAAAGAATATCAATTTATATATTAATCTCTAGCTAAATTTATTAGTATTTAATAATTATATTCTTGGGGTAACAGGGATCCTTGGTCTTACTTTTTGTAAAAATTTTAATTATTGAAATTATATTTAATAAATTGAACCATGTAAAATTTGTAATTAATAGCCAAAATCAAACATGAAATTTGGAGTGGAATATTAAAATTTGTTAATGCATTTATTATAAATACATTCAAACTATCAATCAGATAATAATCCAATCAGACATCCAATGAACACAAATCATTTGATTTATATTTCTATGATCTTGTGCAATAAATAATATGAACATTTTTGATGAATTGCATTTACTAAAATTATTTGTTATAATTAATCATATGGATTACTATCTTATTGATAAAAAATTCTACTCCAATAATTCTGAAATTTAGAATTGAAATTTAATATTGCAAGATTGAATGCATTCATTTTGATTCATATTGATAGTCAACATTAAAAAATATATAAAGTATTGCACAGTGAAAAAAAAAAAAATTGCTGTCTAACATGTGCATGTTCGGTCAGCCTAATAAAATCATCGAGTTAAAATATCAGAATCAATGATTATTAAAATTTCAATTCATTAGTTGCACAATGATATAATTTTGTTTAACACTTAAGCCTTGTAACATTTAAAAAGCACAATAACATGTTTAATATATCTTTAAATAAATATTATTATATTGGTTTCATGCTATGTATAATATAATAGCATGCTGGGGCCACAGTGATGTCAAAATATATAATATCAAACAAGATAGATATATCATCTATCATCAATTCACAATTTGGTACAGAATGCCATTAAGTGTTCATAGCATTCAATATACAAAGGAAAACTTCATTCATTATAAATATTGGTGGGCAAGGCCTACTATATTCTTGTCCAATATTTTATATTTCATAAAATATGAATTTATACATTTTTGTTAAGACTTATTGTTTTATGATAAGTATATCTATTATGGCAAATATGTTGCAAAGTTTAATAATACCGAATAAAATAAATGTTAATCATTGCAACTTGATTTCTGTGTTAATCATATTGTATTTTTATGAATCATTTGTATCAAATAATGATGTTGAAAAATCTTTTGGTGCTATCGCTAACCACACATTACACAACCAGACATGTATGCGAAAACGGAAACTAACAAAGTACATAATGCATTGTACATTATAGAATGTAGCCTATAGCCTGCTGGAGCCTTAATCTGTTCACTTTATGTTGAAGGGTATTATGTACATATGTTATTTGAATGAATGAATGCGATGAAGCACACTACCATTTGACTTTTCAAACTCTGGGATTCGAAACACGTTTGTAATATTCATATTTTGTAAGTTACATCGTAATTCAAAGTATTATTATTTATAATCATGCTATTTGATATTTAGAAGAAATCTTTGGAAAAGTATATACATTTTAAATATAACAATTTAAATATAAGATCATAAAATCATTTTATCAGTTGTGAAGGAAAAGTTAAAAGAAATGTGCAGAGATATAATGCAAAAAACTTAGTATATTAAATATTGCAATAATAAAATTTTATATGTAAATATGATGATACATATTATTTGAAGATTATAATTTGTATTACGTATGTAAATTACAAATGAAGTGTTAAAGTTTCGAATCTTATCAAACTTTACAGAAAATAGTTGCCTATGATACTAAAATTAGGTATTACCTACAATCGAGTGTACCGTAAAATAAGAAACGCATGTCCTTATGTAAAAACTTACACATAGAATACATTTATCAGTTAAATTATGTATTATTAAATGTTATGATTGATTAAATAAAGTGATATGACACTTTATATTTTGATTATAAACTTAAATATCACATTCAATACAAAATATAAGTTTAATTTTATTTTATTATAAATAATATTTAACATCAATAAAATTAAAATATCAGTTATTGATGTTAAACTATGAAACAATCACTAATAATTATCATATATCAATAAATGTAAATATGATAATAGAATTATGTAAGGTAGAAAAAAAACACGTAAAAAATATCTTATAAACTTTATTTCCAAGTTTTATATAACCTAAATAGCTAATTGGGATATGATGATAAATGAATGTATATAAAAATATGCATTAAATTATCATAACAAATAACCTAAAAATTTCTTTATTAAAATAATAATAAAAGAAAATATACGATATTATATTTAAAATAATTACTTTTTGATATTATTTTGGAGTAATTTAAATTAATAAATTTAAAAAGATTTTTATTAACGCTCAATATAAATAATTATAGTGCACATGTGCTGTGTATAGTCCTGAAAAAGTACTTTCAATATCAACTATGCAATTTCAAAACTTAAAATGCTTACCTTAATTTCACGTATAATAAAGTTTTGAGACACTAATAGAAAACATTTCAAGATAATAATCTGTTCACATAATTAATAAACAATCTTAAAAAACAATTTCACAAATTTTAATATTCATAGCCATGTTTGTTTACAAGACAGTCGTTGCTAACGTGCTAAGAATCTTTGGTCACGGGACACTAACACGTGACTATTGACTATATTGTAAAATAAGTAAATGTACTTATTCTGTTAGTAAGTGTTTGTGGATAAATTGGAATTTTTGTTTAAATAAATTGTTTTTAACTTTCACTTAAGTATTATTTAATATTTTTTCCACAATGATTTTAATGCCAAAGGATTCCGCAAAATTTATAAATTCTTGTTCTAAAAATGTTTTCGTTGAAAATGAAGGAGTCAAAACTATTGCTTATGCGGTAAATAATTTTTTCAATATTATTTAAATTATACATATATAAATTTTCAATATATTATAAAAACAAGTAGTAAAATTATATAATGAATGTTATTTATATTCTTTGTTATATTTTTTTAATTGGTTAAAAAAATAAGATAAAAAAATTTAATAAGTTTGATTACATTTACAGGTTTTAAAAGGTCTTAAGGATGATAAAATAAGTGTAAATAATTTTTCTCAATGTCAATTTCATCCTTCTCCTGAAGATCCAAAAGCAGTTGATTGGATATTTATTTTGAATACATTAAATTATTCTTTTTGGAATAAAAAAAATTGTCCGAAATGGACAGTTAATGATCAAACTGGATATTTTGCATTATGTGCTGCTATTAAGAGAGCTATAAATGTAAGTTGAAATTATATAAATTTTAATTTATGAAAGAATTCTATGTATTATTGTGCTATAATACCTTTTTGAGCATCCCTAATTATTTGACATCTACATCTTTCTTTTGGTGTAGAAGGTGGTGTTATTGATTTTACTGATTCTACTTTTTCTGGAGGTATAACTTCTGGCACTTCTTCTAATTCAGGTTTTATATCTGGTTTAATTTCTTTTTTCTTTTTTATTTTTCTTTTCTTTTGTTTTCCATTTTTCACAATTTTTTGAGTTTCAACTATTTTCTTTTCCATTTTTTTTTCGTCTTTTAATTCCTTTTTTAATTTTGTTTTATTTGTTTGTTTCTCTTTCCCTTTTTTCTTTTTTGTTTGTTTTGCTTCAGTTAACTTTTTTGTCTAAAATGATACTATATCTTTATTAGACTTAAACTTGTTTATATAATACTATACATTATATAAATAACATAGAATATATAAAATATATGCAATTGATTATATAATTTACAATCTTGATAAAAAATATTGAATATTCTTACCTTATCATTTTTTGTAGCAGCATATGATTTAGATAATAATTTTTTTCATCGGTTTTAAAATCATCCTAAAGTTAAAATAGCATCTTAATAGTTTAAAGTAGCATCTATATATGCAATTTTTCATATTTATTAAATTTGTATAAAATACCTCTTCGTTATAAAAATATTTTGGACAACAAATTCGCATTCTCTTTGAAGGCATCTGCCTAGCCAAATAACATCTTATATACATTCTCACATCATGGAAAAGATCTATAAAAAAAAACATCAAACTTTATCAATATATGTGCAAAAAAAATAGTTCATAAATTTCAATACTTTTCATTCTTTCTGTTTCTCTTTTTACTTTCTTTTCATACGCTTCTATAAATTCTTTTCGTTGATCTTCTATGCATTTCATTAGAAATTGTTCCTTTTCAATCTGTTTCTTTTGAAATTCTTGTCTTTCTTCCCATCTAAATAAACATAAAAAAAAACTTTCAATTCTAACACGAATTATTCTATCATTTTTACACATACTTTTCTTTTACGATTCTCCGTTTCTCTTCCCGTTCTTGCATTAATCGTAAATCCATCATTTTTTTTCTTACACGTTCCTTTTTACGCCATTCCAATAAAGTGTGAATTATTTTTTGCCGTCGAATGGCTTGTGCTGCTTTTTGTTTTTGTTGAATTAATTCAGCTTTCTGTATGCTTTTCATATACCGCATTTGTTGAGCTTCTCGTTTTTGTAATTCTAACAATATCAATCTTTTCTCTATTTTCTTTTTCATTTCCTTTTGTTTTTGTCGTTTTAGCTTCTCAGCCATTTTCATCTCTTTTATAGCAAATTTTCTTAACTCCATCAATCTTTCTCTTTCTTTCAATCTGATGAATTGTTGTCTTGTATTTCACTATTTTTAAGTAACAAGTCATTCTATTTATACAGTGTGTCTAGTTTAAATGGAAATGTTTTAAAGAACATTTCAATTAAAAATTATAGAAGATATAAAAAAAAAAAAATGTTTCAGACACTCTGTATAATTTAATATTATATTGTTGCGAATATCGAATAGATTAGAAGTTAATTTTATTTTGGAAAGAGTAAAAGAACATTAGTCTCTGTTATCTGCATGCAGTAATGTTTCATTAACTATTCAGAATTTCAATGAAAAAGATAAATAGAAATATAACTAATTCCTTAACTATTATAATATTGATCAAGTAAATAATTTTTCCATTATAATATAATTCATAAACTAATATTAATTTTTATTACTTTAATTATTATAAATTGTACACATAATTTCTTTGTACAATAATTTTTTGCGAAATTTTTTAAATAACACATTCATTGTTAATGAACGATATTCAAGCAATAAGTTTTAAACATTTTAATCGAACTTTTAAGCAAAATATTCACAGCTTGACTCAATATTTTTGAATAAAAAAAAAAAAAAAAAAAAAAAAAATACAAAAGTTAGATCCATGGTAAATTTATTCTTTAAGTTTTGCTCCAAAGGAATGCAATAATCGCAACAATATATGCTCGATATTTTACCTCTTTACTTCCTTCTCCGCCTGATGTTGCGCGTATTGTATCGCTTTCTCCTCTATGGATTGTTTCGTTATTCTGTTCAATTCCTTTTTTATACTGTCACAGTGTAACCTTCTCAAATATCTTCTGTACATATTGTAATCCTTCAGGGAACATTTCGCATCTAGATTCTTAGTAATGAAACCGGCCTTCAACAAATGTCGAATGACATTCGGTTTTGAGAAATAAGGGAGCAAATGTTTGTCGTGAAGGGAATCGTAAGTCCATTCTATCTCATAACCGTAAGGATCGCTCAAGTTGAATTCCGCGTCGGGCGCTGAGATCCACAATGTCTCCCCGAGTTTACGACGAGTGAAGTTGTAAGCGCCTTCCGGTCCGGGGACCATTGGGATTTTCGACTCTAAAGGCATTAATTTCCATTTTGGCAGACCAAAATGTGGAATAGCACCTTTCGGTTTAGGGATCGATTCGGAGAATTTCCCCAGGCTCCTGATTTTATTCGAAAAATTATTATTATTGTGAAAAAGAAATACTCTCATTACTCGAGTCACGTGTACTCACGTGGGCCTTTTAAGACTGATCATATCAGTCGTATAGTGTTCGCACGATGGATTCATCTTACTCGTCGGGAAGTAATCTTTCCGATTACTTAGAAATTTCTTAATGTAAGCACTCTTATAAATTTAATAGTAAACAACATATTGTGGTTACATTGGAATTTTGCGCGATATACACGTAAAATGTCACTTTCTCGTTTTCCACGTTATGTCTAGCTTCTTTTGTTCGTGGATTGTTTGTCTTGGTCGTTTCAAAAATACCTCGACACGTCTGTGTGTTTCGTCTCGAAGGAACGTTTAATTATTGTTGAAATTCTGCAAGATAGATATGCCCATTTTTTCCTCTTTCTCTCTATCCCTCTCTTTATCTCTCTCTCTCTCTC